GTTTCTTCAGGGTCTCCAAGTGGGTGCAGAGGCCCATGTTGGGCTATCTTCCACTGCTTTCCCTGGCACATTAACAGGGAGGTGGATTGGAAGTGGAGTAGCCAGGACTTGAACCAGCGACAATATGGGATGTTGACATCGTAGGCCACAGCTTTACCCGTTACATCACAACACTGGCCCCCAATGTTTTTTTTTAACTTTTATTTAATAAATATAAATTTCCAAAGTACAGCTTTTGGATTACAGTGGCTCCCCCCAATAACTTCCCTCCCACCCACAACCCTCCCATCTCCCACTCCCTCTCCCATTCCATTCACATCAGGATTCATTTTCAATTTCTTTATGTACAGAAGATCAATTTAGTGTATATTAAGTAAAGATTTCATCAGTTTGCACCCACACAGAAACACAAAGTGTAAAGTGCTGTTTGAGTACTAGCTATAGCATTAATTCACATTGAACAACACATTAAGGACAGAGATCCTACATGGGGAGTAAGTGCACAGTGACTCCTGTTATTGATTTAACAATTGACACTCTTGTTTATGGTGTCAGTAATCACCCAAGGCCCTTATCATGAGTTGCCAAGGCTATGGAAGCCTTTTGAGTTTGCCAACTCCAATCTTTAGACAAGGTCATATTCAAAGTGGAAGTTCTCTCCTCCGTTCAGAGAAAGGTACCTCCTTCTTTGATGCCCCATTCTTTCCACTGGGATCTCACTCGCAGAGATCTTTCATTTAGGTTTTTTATTTTATTTATTTATTTATTTTTGCCAGAGTATCTTGGCTTTCCATGCCTAAAATACTCTAATGGGCTTTTCATCCAGATCCAAGTGCCTTAAGGGCTGATTCTGAGGCCAGAGTGCTGTTTAGGACATGTGCCATTCTATGAGTCTGCTGTGTACCCTGCTTCCCATGTTGGATTGTTCTCTCCCTTTTTTATTCTATCAATTAGTATTAGTAGACACTAGTGTTGTTTGTGTGATCCCTTTGACTCTTAGACCTATCAGTGTGATCAATTGTGAACTGAAACTGATCACTTTGACTAGTGAGATGGCATTGGTACATGCCACCTTGATGGGATTGTATTGGAATCCCCTGGCATGTTTCTAACTCCACCATTTGGGGCAAGTCCGATTGAGCATGTCCCAAATTGTACATCTCCTCCCTCTCTTATTCCCACTCTTATATTTAACAGGGATCACTTTTCAGTCAAATTTAAACACCTAAGAATAATTGTGTGTTAATTACAGAGTTCAACCAATAGTATTAAGTAGAACAAAAAAAAATACTAAAAGGGATAAAGTACTAAGTTGTTCATCAACAGTCAGGACAAGGGCTGATCAAGTCACTGTTTCTCATGGTGTCCATTTTACTTCAAGAGGTTTCCTTTTTGGTGCTCGGTTAGTTGTCACCGATCAGGGAGAACATATGATATTTGTCCCTTTGGGACTGGCTTAAAACGCACCCGATCTCGTCTGATCTCGGGAGCTAAACAGGGTCGGACCTGGTTAGTACTTGGATGGGAGACCCCAGTGTTTTTTAAAATATCTATTCATTCAATTTGCAAGGTGGAGTTATGAGATGGGGTATTGAGAAACAGAGAAGAACCCTTGATCTAATGGAACATTAAGCATTTGACTAAAATGTGAATTAAAAATATCTTATCACAAAAATTAAAAAAAATTAAAAGGGCTTATTGGAATGAAATTTCAGCTTCCCAGGGTACATGACTCCCAATACGTTTCCTACTTGCTTGCTGAGGGTTCAAAGGCAAGGAAGAATGACACCAGCTTTTCCTCCTGCCGCCTATACATTTCCACAGCTGCAATTAACACTTACTTATGTAAAGTGATAAACAGAGCACTTTTTCAAGGCATCTCTAGTTTTATTCCTGTTAAGCATTTATTAGTATCTATTTTGTGTCTGTGGTGTGCTAGTAAGGTGTCAGGATTGTAACAGTGAATAAAACATGATTTCTGTGCTGAAAGAAAAAAAAAAAATTCAGCCTCTGAAGATGCTCTGTGTGGAGAAGATCATAGAATGAACATTTATCCAGCCTCTTGGTTTGATCTGATCTCACTAAAACACTATCTCCACTGACAAATTAAGCTCACTCACACTGTCTTCCCATCCACATGCCTCCATGTGGTGTCCATAGATCAAGTTGTTCACAAAAGTATGCTGATACTGCCATCGCAGATGAGAGCACTGACAGATGGTTTCTTTTAAGAGCTTCTTTCCAGGGATGCAGAGAGAAGAGTAAATGTGTTATTTCCTGCTGATTTTCCTTGAAACTACAATTTTCTGTAGCTTTCTTTTAAGAAAATATGTGATAGTTTGATTCCCTCAGAGTAAATCTGCCCTTGTTTGTTTCTGAAATGTTCCCCCTCTTGGAAGCAGCCTGGAAAGCAGTCAAGGAAGATTCCAGCAGCAGTGCTGTGGTTCGATTGTTAGGCAATAGTCTTGGCCGTGTGTCATGGGTGGGATCACTCGCAGTGTATGTGAACTTCCTATGCAGTACTGGAAGTTAAGTCATTGAATATGTGTCCAGAGTTCATTTCTCTTATGTGAATTTCATCTAAGAAATAATACATTAGTAGTTTGTCTTTTTAATGATTAGATTCCCTAAACTTTCCTGGTCCTAGGCTAATCCTCCACCTTGCGGCGCCAGTACACCGGGTTCTAGTCCCGGTTGCCCCTCTTCCAGGCCAGCTCTCTGCTGTGGCCAGGGAGTGCAGTGGAGGATGGCCCAAGTGCTTGGGCCCTGCACCCCATGGGAGACCAGGATAAGTACCTGGCTGCTGCCATCGGATCAGCGTGGTGCGCCGGCTTCAGCGTGCAGGCCACGGCGGCCATTGGAGGGTGAACCAACAGCAAAGGAAGACCTTTCTCTCTTTCTCTCTCTCTCACTGTCCACTCTGTCAAAAAAAAAGGAGGGGGGGGAGTTGATCTGAATGAGTTCTAATGTCTTGTCCATTTCTTACATCTTCTGAATTTGTGTGACTTTCTTTTTTTAAAAAATTTATTTGAAATAGAGTTACAGTGAGGCAGAGGGAGAGAGACAGAAGTCTTCCATCTGCTGGTTCACTCCCCAGATGGCCACAATGGCCGGAGCTGTGCCAATTGAAAGCCAGGAGCCAAGAGCTTCTTCCAGGTCTCTCACACGGGTGTAGGGGCCCAAAGACTTGGGACATCTATGCTTTCCCAGTCCATAGCAGAGAGCTGGATCATAAGAGGAGCATCCGGGACTCGAACTGGTGCTCATATGGGATTCTGACACTGCAGGCAGCAGCTTTACCTGCTATGCCACAGCGCCAGCCCCTTGGACATACTATCTTTAAATTCTGTTTAAAATAATTTCTTTAGGTATTAATTTTTGTTGTTAGCAGGTCCAAGAAAAGGTGTGTGTGTGTATGTGTGTGTCCGTGTCTCTGTGACAATCTGTATTTTATCAAGGTTCATCATTGTAGCTTTCTCAGACTTAATATTCTTGATTAATGTTAACAGAATTAATAAAAAAAACAGATAACTGCTACAATAAACAACCCTAAAATCTCAGTGATTTAATACAATAGACTAGAGTCTTTGTTTTCAATACCCAGTCTCTAAATTCAGTACTTTCACCTTTAATACCCTGTCTCTAAAATTGCTACAGTAAGGAAAAAGAAAGTGGAGATTCACTCACAAGAAATTTTGTGAACCAGAACTAGAACTGACCACTTTTCCATTGGCCAGAACTCAACCACTCCAACAGAACTATGATGTGGTGGCCAAACATAGCCAAGCACTGTGTCCAGGCAGAAATGGAAAGCTGCACGCATCAGTGAGCTCTAGGGTCCTTGGCCTTATCTGGTTTTCTGACTCCTTTGCATTCTGAGGTTGAGCAGTTGACCTGAGGGCCTTGCTCACCAATGCTTTTCCTACACACTCATCCCGTCTCTGTCTTGTACCACCTCACACTGTTTCTTGCCAATCATGCAACATTTCTTTTCACTCAGCCTCAACTACTTCCTGTCTTTGAGGAGAGGAGCCCTAAGAAGAGGACTCTTCATGAGTAAGATAGGTGGGAAACATAGCTTACTGAAACATAGCTAGAAGAGGTTGGCTCTAGTTGGTTTGAGTTAAGAAATGATTATTCCAATAGGAGATGAATCCCATGGTGAAAATTCTGTTTCTTCCTATAGAAGGCGATCATTTGAACAAAAATTTTATGAAGCTGTTATAAAATTTAGATTGAAAATCCTCCTATATGTTAACTGCTTTGGAAAGTCCAATTAATAGCAATTAAGAACTATAACCATTTAAAAATGAGTCATTCCAGCTGTTTTATATTTTTTAATGTTCATTTAAGAATAAAACACATATATCCCATAATTTAGGAAGATGTTTTTAAAAGGAGAACATTTGCTTTCTGTCTTAAACTCCTTCCAGCATGGAATGGAAAATGATTATGTAGCTATTTGTAATCCAAGGAAGACAGCCATTCGACAAACCTGTCCAAAGTCAAAACTATCATGCAACAGGAAGCACCCTATATTCTTCCCAGCCTGTTCCTGAAGAGTCTCGGTTTCTGATAGTGTTGTACTCACAATGCATAGATTTCGATGACAAGGATTCCTTGCGCAAGACTCTCTTAGGCCATGAAAGATACTACTAGTTCATCTTTCTGTCCAATCATGAATGACCAAGAATCAATCCCCTTCTCATATGTTATGCTTAGTTTAATAAAAACACCTTCTGGAAACAAGTTCCTGTTTAAGTTTGTGAGTGGCATTTCTTACACCTAAAATTCTTAGACTGGACAATTTTCTGGAGCCAACAGACACAAAAATCTTGCCAAGAACAATGCTCACGAAGAGTTTAAAAGCAGTGAATCCTTGATCATCCAGTGCAGACAGCAAGACTTGCCCCTCAAATACCAACAGGAATTGGGTGAGCCTGTTTGGAAAGCCAGGGAAAGCCGCTGCTTGGTTGACACATTGTGCTTCTTTTTCCCAGGGCTTTCCTGGAAAGGATGGTTCCTCTGGCCCTCCAGGACCACCAGGGCCAATTGTAAGTATTTCCAGAAACTGCTGGGATGTACTGTGCTTTAAATCATTTTGTTTCATTTCTTTAGAGAGGGTTTTCTATTACCCTATTACCAGACCTTTTCCTCAGCAGCCATCTTTGCTGTGGGACCACACAGAGGCTTCCCCGAAACATCCTAGAAAACATAAACACGTGAGAGCACCTGCATGGATCTGGATTCATCAGACACAAGAAAGGCTTGAATTTGAAAGAACTATGCCTGACTAGTAGAGTGTAGACTTAAAAAATACCTGCCTCATGTTTTTGGTAGTTGGGAATAGGAAAGAGCCATCAATCCTGAAGTCTTGGTGATGAGAGAAGGGTGTTATCATGGTGTATATTTGTTCTTCTCTGAGACTCGATCACCAGTAATGAGAAGGAGAATGTGTGACTTCTTACCTTTCTTCCATATCCCTGCCTTTTTCTTAGGGCATTCCTGGAGCTCCTGGAATCCCGGGGATCACTGGAAGCACAGGACCACAAGGCGCACTTGGGCCACCTGTGAGTATTCAGCAGTAGCTGGTCAGAATGCATGGCCACTCGCCACTTCTACTTACGTGTTTAGGTTCACCAGCATCTCTATTTGTCAGCAGTGTTTATTCAATATTGAACACTATGGAAATCCATAAAGGAAAGCAGAGAAGCTCTTTGGACAGAGATTAGTATAAGGTTGTGCGTATACCATGGTCCTAACAGCGTAATCAATCATGCTTTTCCTTATACAGGTTCCGTTGCTTGTGCTTGGCTCTGTGTTAGCCAAATTTAGTATCATCTTTATAAGAATTGGGTATAAGAGCTAAGTGTCAGTCAAGCCTGGCTCCCAAGGGGGGCACATAACAGATATGAGAAATTAATGAGAGTGGAATAATTTTCTAAATTCTGCCCACAAGGGATAAGATAAAAGCAAATGAACACTTTTAGGCCTGTACCTGTACCTGTAAAATGAGATATGTGTATTTTGAAGAAATAGCCAGCATCATGTGTGACTTGCAAGTTGTCTTTTCTATATGTAGATGTTAGTTCGCATTCTGATAGTATGGGTAATGACCTAAATCCACATCCGTGGCTTAAGAGAATTGAAATATGTAAAGGTATGTATTGCTACAAACACGCTGAGAAGCTGTTTGTAGCTGTGGAAGAGTGAAATCTGATGGATGAACCTTGGAAGAAGGAAATTAACGAGCCTTCTATTGCTGCTTGGTCTCACTGAGTACGAAGCAGGGTGTGCTGCTTCCTTTCCGGAGGCTAGAGGAGGATCTAGTTCCTCACCTGTACTAGCTTCTAAAGGCGGCTCACTGTCCTGCACTCAGGGGCCACTTGCATCTGCAAAGTCAGTGATGTTGTGGCTCCACCCGTTCTTCCACTCACACCTGTCTCTGACCACAGCCAGGAATAGGCCTGGCCTTTAAGGACCTATGTGGTTATCTCAGGCCACCCACACAATTGATAAGCTCTCTAGAGAATCCCTGAATCTTTCATATTTGCAAAACCCATTTTGCTGCAAAAAGTAACATATCCACAGGTTCTGGGATCAGTGCATTAATATTTGGAGTGGAAAGGACCATTTCCCTGCCTATTAGAGTAAACAAGACACAACAAACAATGCTGCTTCTGTTTTTTTAAGATTTATTTTATTTATGTGAAAGCCAGAGTTAGAGTGAGAGAGGTCTTCCATCCGCTGGTTCACTACCCAAATGGCCACAACTGCCGGAGCTGTGCCAATCCAAAGCCAGGAACCAGGAGCTTCTTCCAGGTCTCCCACATGGCTGCAGGGGTCAAAGAACTTGGGCCATCCTCTGCTGCTTTCCTAGGCACATTAGCAGGGAGCTGGATCAGAAGTGGAGCAGCTGGGATGTGAATCAGCACCCACATGGGGTGCTGGCATTGCAGGCTGTGGCTTTAACCCGCTGTGCCACAGTGCTGGCCCCTGCTTCCTTTTATTAAAAAAAAGATGTCTCTATTTATTTGAAAGTGAGAGTTACAGAGAGAGAGAGAGGGAGAAACAGCAATCTTCCATGTGCTGGTTCACTCCCCAAATGGCTGCAATGGCCAAGGCTGAGCCATGCCGAAGCTGGGAGCCAGGAGCTTCTTCCAGGTCTCCCACATGGGTGCAGCAGCCTGAGCACGTGGGCCATCTTCCACTGCTTCTCCCAGGCCATGAGCAGGGAGCTGGATCAGAAGTGGAGCAGCTGGGACATGAATCGGCACCCATATGGGATGCCAGCTTTGCAGGTGGCAGCTTTACCTGCTACTTCACAATGCCAGCCCAGAACCACTGGTTCTTATTCAGAAAGATGCCTCTCTTTATCTACTGAAAGAGGCTCTTCTTCAATAAAATTCTTCCATCCCTGGATCCTTCTCTAAGCTATGATTCACATGGTACATATATACACATCACATAAGAAATGTGCATAAAAAATGCATCTAGATTTTAACAAGTGCAGCCTAATTTGTGCATCCAAATGCTACACTATAAATACTGTATAATATTACTATGTAATACTGTAATACTGTTTAATATTGCAATGCTATATAATACTAGTAGTCACTTTACAAACTGCATACTCATTCCAACTACATTGCCATTGTTAAATACCTTTGGATTTTCTCTTTTCAAATCAATTTAGTAGTGGGTCACAGGAGATAATTTGATGTTTTATCATTTGGTTCCAGGCTATTGCACATGAGAAAGGAGACTTAAAAACATACTCTCTGCTTCACAAAATGTACTCTTGGGAGACAGAGCGCAGAAAAGGCCCATAGGGCTTAAGAGTGCAAGAGATTTTGTTCAAAGAAGTGCCAGGGGCTGTGAGGCTAACTCTTTCTAAGAAAGTCACAGGAGATTTTAATGCGCTAATGTCTTTGACACATCAGAAAATAAAACAGGAAAATACAGGAAAAAAAAGTATCTAAGTTCGTTAGACAATAAACACATTTGTTGTTGCTGTTGTGATTGTTGTTTTGCATTCTTACTGGTGTCAGCTACACCAGTTTCTCTTCATCCAAGTGAGGAAAGAACAAGTCATGGATTGATCCTGATCAAAGATGGATCGAATGGGAAGGGCTAAGGAAGGAAAAGCAGGCTCTGGGGGCCTGGGGAGAGATAAAATGGAGCATGGAGGGACAGAGTGAGATCGGGAAGACCTTAAGTGAGTATGAGAGCACCTGCTCACCCACCTGGCTTTTTGTAGCTCTGGATTATATTCTAAAAACAGCACAGACAGAAATACTAATACATTTTCTCACAAATAAAACACCTGCTTTGATCTTGAATGTGCCCTGTGCTGTTAATAGTCTTATCAGCTGCAGGAACAATTAGGTCTTTGGCGCTGAGTGGGTACACCGTGGTGGACTTGGGGATATCCTCTCAAAAGGAGCTCATTCTCTGCCCTGTGCGGCCCAGACTTGTCCCTGTATTTTGGCCGACAGCTCTCAGATGCCTGCTGGCTGCCAGACCAGTGTAACTATTAAAGCAGGCCCGGTGTCATGGTGCTCAGGCCTTGATTGATTTCCCATGGATGTCTGTCTAGGAAGGCAGGAGGAAAAGAGACCAAGAGAGACAGACTGCGCCGCTGAAAATAGCAGTGTGTTTCCTACAGTTGGTGCCAGAAATGCCTGCTTCCATGCACTCTGCCTTCACTGCTGACTCCTAGGGCAGAATCTCCCTCGCTGCTGCCGAGGTCCCGATTCCTGGCGGATTTTAAGCACAGGGTTGAATGTAGTGCTCCTCCTGGTGTTGGGTTTATGCACAATGAAGGCTTTGCAAGAACAGGCTGCTTCCTGCTGGCACTGTGTGCTTAGTTTGACTTCCCCATGAGTATATAGGTATGGTGTGATGTCAAAGAGCATTATGTTGAAAATCAGGGTACCTGGGTTCCACCTGTGGCCCTGACATGACCCTCACTAGCTGTGTGAGCCATATTACTTACACACATCCTCTAGTCTTGCAGAACATCAGTTTGCTAGTTCAGTCATTGCAGATGTTTACAGAGTAGGCACAGTATTTATGAGCCTACAAGATGGCAAGAATTGTGAGAGGTAAAATAATCTAGACCTTCTTCCACATTTATGGGAAATCTGGTTAGAATGATGGTTCTATAATAAAAGGCAGAAAGTTGAAACGCCTTAAAGGAAAGATAAGAAACTTGCTATGAAAGGTTGGGCAGGGCAGGGGGGAGATCCCTACATTGCAGGGGTGGAGTTATAGTTCCAAGAGGCAGCATGTCACTGGGATCTTGAAATATGAATGTGGGAATGATTCCCCCCCTCAAAGACAGGAAGATAATAGTGCTTAGGTGGTGCCTTTAGTAAAACACAGGACAAGGCACCTCCTGTCTTTTGTTCATTTAAAAGCATTTTTCTGCTCTTTCTTTAGCTCTGTCATAACTACCATAGTTTTATTTTAGGTCCTCCTTGTTTCTCACAAACATTGTCATGAGAAGCTCTTAGTAGCCCATGGCCTCAGTGCTATCCTTGGTCTGGTCCATTCCTTGGCTTGCTGGGACATCCTTTTGGACATTGTTATGGGTCATCCCCTGGCTTGAGTCTCCTTGCCAGATCCCTATCACCAAAGGCTGGACCCTGTGTGTTCAGTGTGGTGTACATGGCCCTGGCCCTTCACTTTCCCCTCTATCTGGGTCTACCATTATCCCTTTACTTGGCATTGAGTCACATGTAATCATTTTAAGCTCTCAAGGATTTGCCACAGTTTCACACTTTTCTTGCCCTTTGAGATGCTCTTCTGTCAGTCTGGGCTTCTTCCTCCTCCTTTCACGTCCCATTGAGGCCTGGGCTGTTCCTTCTCAAAGACTGCAAGACTCCTTGTAAAACCACCTTTATCTCCTTAGACTGCTAGATATCTCCTTCAGCTGTTGGGTTCCCCTACTAAGTGGCAATTCTTTGAGACTGAAATGAGATCAGATACAATCAGAGTACTTAATATGTATCTGCTGAGGAGGGAGGGGGCAGGAGGAGGGAGGAAGGAGGAGGGAGGAAGAAAAAAAAGAAGTAACAGGAAAAGAAAGAAGGAAAACATGGGTTCTAGTTAGGCTGGTGTTCAAGGGAGAAATAAAAGACTATTATTGTAGATCAGGATTTAGGTCATGGAAGACCTTCAGAGCCAGCCTGGAATGTTTGATTTTGCATAACAGGCATCTTTAACACATGGAACTTCAACCACAAGATCATTCCTCTTCCCTTCAATACTAAAATTCTGTGAATCTGTGAATGTCGGTACTGTATTTTCTTTTCTTTACATTTCAAGTGTTCCTGAAATTAAAGGAAACGGTGCTACTTTTCCTGGCCTCTATCTACAGGGAATATGTGTTTTCCCTAAAGCATATTTTGGTGGAGTTATGGGCCTTCATTTGCTCAGGAATTTTTATTTTGTTTTTATTTTACTTTGCAGAAATCAAGGGAGAGATGTCAGAAAAGTTGGAATAAAAAATAATTTCTTACCATAGAGATATTTCACTAGAACGATCTTTCACTTGCGGCCTCCTAGCTGGATCCTTTAGATGCATAATAAAAAGCACTATGAGACTAAGTGTGAGGGATTTCGGGCCCAAATAGACACATTCGTCTCTGTTCCAGAAGGTGCAATGGCTCAGCTTTGCATGGTATTTTCTTTCTGTAAATTTGAAACATTTTCAAACAGGACAATATAATAAGTGATAGCAATGGAAATGTCAAAAAGTGTATTGGTGCAAAAAGAAAAAACATTTTAGACAAACTGGGTTTTAAAACAGGACTCAAGTTAAAACCTAATTCTGATTTACTAAACTTAGGTTTAAGGGATGTTATGTTTGCTTGTGTTTGTTCTGTTTTAATTAGGAAAAGATGATTTTCACTAGAATGGAAGGCACTGGCTGCCGCATTTATTGAACAGTGTCCTCTTCCAGCAGAGAGCAGAGTGCACCCCAGGGTACATGGGTTCTGGAGCTCACAATTTGGGTTCAGGTTCCACTGTGTTATTGTGTGACTTTGGACAAGTGGTTTAACATCCTTACAGCATTTCCTTAATCTGTAAAATATAAATATTATCTCATAGGATTGTTGCAAAGAATATATGAGCCAATCTTATAGGAGTATTATAAGGATTAAATTCGTTATTTTAGAAGACTATTACAAAGGCTGACTACTGTGGCATTTGGAAAGCCTGTGTCTCATATTAGAGTGCCTGGTTCAAGTGGTGGATACTCTGCTTCCAATTTAGCTTCCTGCTAATGCACATCCAGTGAGACAGCAGGTGAAGGCTTAAGTACTTAAGTCCCTGCCAGCAATGTAAAAGACCCAGGTTAGTTTCAGGCTCCTGGTCTTCAGGTGTCCCAGCCATGGCTATCGTGGGAATTTGGGGAGTGACCCAGCAGATGCAAGATCTCTTTCTGCTTTTCAAATGAAAGTGAAAATTTTAAAAATTTTTGAGAGAAGGGATTCACTGGCTTTGCAAGGTAAAAACACCACAAATAGTGCTAGGTACATGGGAAAAGCAGCTTAAATATTACTCCTAGCATTTTTGGTTTCTTACTACATTAAAAGTGTGGAGTGTTTACTAATTTTTGGTGGTGGCTGATTTTTGGTTTTGTTTTGTGCTTAATGCTTGAAAAGTAGTTCCCATTAACGATTTATCTAGTGGTATCAAGAGTAGTACTTATCTCTGGACCTAGCAGAGTCTCTTTTGGTACTTGTCCATTTGTGGAGCCTAAGGAATGAGGGAAGAGGGCGCGGCCAGTACATTTAGTTCCAAAGAGAATTTGAGCTGGCAGAGGGAGAGCGCTATGTAAATCTTATTTTTTGCAGAAATTTTTTGCAGTTTAAGTTAGTTTTTTTTTTTTTTTTAACAGAATCAACACTTTTTCTAATGCTCTAGAGGTCCACTGCTTGAGTATGTGTTAAATATTTTTCTTGGGTTTTTTTTTTTTTTCAATCAATGTAGTTAAAATGAAGCACAGATTGGCTTGTCCTCCATACTTAAAGTGAAACTCAACCATCCATTCATTCAATCAACACATTTTTTTTGAGCACCTGGCATGTCCCAGGCATAGTCCTAGGAATTGGGATACAAAAGCCTATAAACTTGACCTAGCCTCAACCTTGTAGAACTCACAGTTCAAGAGAGGATCTGCCTTCTCTAGGGAAGTTGGAATCCTTCCTTTACTAGGACAGCGTTTATCTTTTTCATTGTTATTCATGTGCTCCCTGCTCCAAATAGTGACCATATCATGGAATGATAATGTATTGGCCTTGTAATGGACCCCAGAGGCTACTTAATATACTTTGGCCCCATCTTAAAAAGAATCTCAAGGCGTTTAAATGGCCTTTCAGATCCTCTACTCCATTTTTTTTAAAAAAAGGTCTCTGATCATTGATTTAATTTGTAATATTGAAAAATTACCTTATGGCACATTACAGTGTAGATTTATATGAGAAGTCTTCAAAAAGTTCATGGAAAATATGCATCATGAAAAATCTATGGATCTCAAATTTTTGCACCAAAATAATCTTTTAATTATGTGTCCCATAAATTTTTTGAAGTACACCCATACTTCTAGTTGAAATCAGTTAATAATCTTCATTTTATTTTACTTTTAAAGATTTATTTGAAAGAGAGGGAGGGAGAGAGGAAGGGAGGGAGAGAGGGAGAGAGAGAGAGAATGAATCTTCCACCTGCTGGTTCACTCCCCAAATGGCTGCAACAGCCAGAGCTGGGCTGATCTGAACGTAGGAGCCAGAAGCTTCTTCCTGGTATCCCATGTGAGTGCAGGACACTTGGACAATTTTCAGTTGCTTCCCCAGGCCATTAGCAGGGAGTTGGATTGGAAGTGGAACAGCAGGGGCTCAAACAAGCACCCATATGAGATGTGTGTGCTGCAGGCGGCAGCTTTATCTGTTAGGCCACAGAGCCAGCCACTCTTTCCATTTTGCTAACAAAGCAAAAGGAAACCCAGTGCCAAAGAACGTAAACAGCAGTCTTAGATTTATAATAAATATTTCAGTTTCATATTGGACTTAATCAGGATATTTGAGTGACTCTTTTAAGGAAGATATTGAGTAGGTGGTTTAGGAAATATAAAATAAGTATGGTTCTCTGTTCTTGGGATCTTATCACCTACCAGAGAAGGAAAATCCACCCATTAATTTGAAATTAAATATATACAACAAAAATTTAGTGTCAAATATTATGTCAAGGTACCTACTTCATTAGACTATTCCTATTGTTAATTAATATTTAATTGGTAATATTTATGCTTAATATTCTTCTCACATTTCAAATATCTTATATGCTGAGTCGACCAGGCTCTTGAGAATAAGTAGTTCTAATTTGAAGAGTAGGTGATAGGGAGGTTGAGTCTGAGTTTCAAAAGATTTTGGATTCCTGGACTCGGGCTTTTTCCCATGAATGTCTGAGAACCACTGAGTGATCTTTAGTAGAAGAAAGGCTACCATCAATTAGTAGTCACTGAGCTTTCTAAGGTGTTGTAGGGAGTTGAGATTAGTGGGTGGAAATAGATGGACTGGCAGTAAGGTCATTAATTAGGGATGTCAATTAGAAGATGCTACAAATGCCTTGGTGTGAGATAGCAAGGGTAGCATCTGAATTGGTGGAATAGAAGAGATGAATGTGAAAGGCAATACAATACAGTTAAAAGTATGTATTGAATACTTGTAGACATAGAGGAATAGGAAGGAAAACATATTGGGGACAATCTTTACCTGCTCAGGAGAGTCAACTGTGAGCTTCTCTTCTTCCCAACTCCTCTTTTCCTGGAAAGCCAGTCTACTTATGACATCATGGGGTAAATCCAGAATTTAGAGTTTGAGTAACTGTTAACTGAATAGAAATTCTGGAGAACACACTGAGTTTCTTGGGGCCTGTTGAGGTTGAAGTAAGTAATGACTGAGCACAACCTGACAATGTCACACGTTTGATGTACAAATTCCATTTACTCTCCTTAGAGAAGTGAGTGTAAAATTTTGTTCAATGAACCTTGCCTAAGAATGGAAACAAAAATATGAAATCCTTCTGAAGACATGTTTTATGTCATGAGTATAATTTTTATTGCTGTGGCACTGCAAATGTCTTTTATTCAGGAAATTTTTTACAATAATTGTGACATCTTTCATGTATTGAATAGTAGCAAAGCCACATTTAAAAACAATAATTCAGCTGAGAATTCATATAACTATGTGCTCTTTTACTGAGGATAAATAGGGAGAATTGCATAGAATCCCATCTCTTATTTGAATTTCTAGGCTGAGAGATCTTTTCTTTGCTTCAGAGATATTCCTTTAATACTGCAATAATTTATTCAGTAGAAATATGTGAAATAAGTTACAAAGCAGCAGCAGAATACAGTAGAGTGTGGCAAAAGGTGAAAGACCCATTCAGTAAAGATGTAGGTTACAAAGCAATAGTGTTGCATTCCAATTTACATAAAAAGGCTGGAGGATGAAAATGTTGAGAAAAGCTATTTATGCCTGGTGTGATTACAGGTTGTTGTCTGTCTTACTCCTATTTTTGTATAACTGTTTTTGTTGTGGAATTTCTAGTGCTAAGAAAAAGGTCTTCAGTGTCTGCTAATAATAACTGATAGAATTAAAAAAGAGAGAACGATCCAACATGGGAAGCAGGATACACAGCAGACTCAGATTGGCAGATGCCCTAAACAGCACTCTGGCCTCAGAATCAGCCCTTAAGGCATTCGGGTCTAGCTAAAAAGCCCATGAGAGTATTTCAGGCATGAAAGCCAAGACACTGTGGCAAAAAATGGTCTAAATGAATGATTTTTGTGAGCGAGATCCCAGTGGAAAGAACGGGCCATCAGAGAAGGAGGTACCTTTCTCTGAAGGGAGGAGAGAACTTCTACTTTGATTATGGCCTTGTCTAAATAAGGTTGGAGTTTGTGAACTCAAGAGGATTCCATAGCCTTGGAAGCTCATGACAAGAGCCTTAGGTGATTACTGGTGTCATGAATAAGAATATTAATTGTTAAATCAACAACAGAAGTCACTGTGCACTTACTCCCCATGGAGGATCTCTGTCCTTAATGTGTTGTACTATGCGAATTAATGGTAAAACTAGTACTCAAACAGTACTTTATACTTTGTGTGTCTGTGTGGGTGCAAACTGTTGAAATCTTTACTTAGTATATATTAAGTTGATCTTCTGTATATAAAGATAATTGAAAATGAATCTTTATGAAGAATGGGATGGGAGAGGGAGTGGGAGTGGGAGATGGGATGGTTGCAGGTTGGAGGGAGGTTATGGGGGGAAAACTGCTATAACCCAAAAGTTGTACTTTCAAAATTTATATTTATTAAATAAAAGTTTTAAAAAAAAGTTCTTAACAAAATGAGAAAAGATGCATGCTGGTTGGTTTGGGCTATGTGTGGTATCCTAGGTAACTCAACAATTTTCTCACTTCTAGGGTGTCCCTGGTCCAAAGGGAGAGCGAGGAGAGCGCGTAAGTATTCTGTGGCTCTGCTCAAAGGCTGCAGCTGGCTGCACACCGTCTAGTGCATGAGCCTGTTGAAGGATGACTATTTACTACAGTGGTTATTCATTGCTGTGATGCCATTTCCTTGTCTTCCCTCCACCTTATTCGACTGGGAACACATTTTTCAGTGGAAAAAGCCCTAAGTTGAAGTCAGGAGAGCGAGTTTCTATTACTTTGCTGCCATCCACCTTGATAACCTGGGAATGCGTCTTAAGCACAAAAAGAGGAGAATCAAACTCATTTAACTCACAAAGTGAATTTCAGAAGGGAATTGTATGGAAGCAAAAGGGCTATAGAAAGCTTAAAGCTCTTTACAAATGCTAAGTAATAGGATGGGAGTCCTGCTTTTCCTGATAGCCCCGTATTGGCACCCAAGCAAACAATGACAGGAATAGAATTAAAGAACTGACCTCCAAATTTAAATCAGTTAATCTCTCCTTTAAGAAGTGGTGCAGCTGCTAATACAATTGGGCTATTGGCTATAATAGAAACAGCAGTGGCTCTAGGCTCATCCATTTACCTCTGTGAAAACTTGGGCAATGTACTTAACACTATTCTGCTATAAAATGGGTTTAACATCTTTCCTCTGAGTTATTATTAGTATTAAATGAGTCACTGCTTGAGAAAGTGCTATATTTTATAAGCTCTAAAGAGTGTAAATGAGGCATTAAATATATATGATTTTTTTCAAAACTATTAAATCTTTAGAATCTGGGATAGAAATACTTGCACCTTTTCGTTTGAATAAGACTCTTGAGAATCTGGAGCCATGAATGTCACATTGCCCTCTCCTCTGTGTGCAGCATCCTATGTTCTGTTAGGAGCCGAAGAGCCCAGATGGCATCAGTGGGTCCAAGTCAGAGCCACATCCTGGAAGTCCTGGTGTGTGGCAAGGCCTGTGCCTGAGAGTCAGGACTGTGCTTTTTTCTCATCCAGGGTGACCTGCAGTCCCAAGCCATGGTGAGAGCAGTGGCACGTCAAGTATGTGAACAGCTCATCCAGAGTAAGTACACTGTGGTTGTGCAGGTTGGTTCACCTTACTTCTCCCTATGGGCCTTTCTCATGAGCATAAAGACTTAGGGGAATATCTCTGAAGCTTTGTCTTGGTGCAGACATGTAAGCTTTATGATGAGCCCCTGCTGATCCATCTAAGAGATCATTACAGATTACCCTAGAGCTCGCCATCAAAGCTACAGAAGCTTAACTTCACATAAGAACTATCAGTTTGCCATGTAGATTTAACGTGATGGCCCAGGCCACATCTTCTATCCCTTTATCTTTCTCCAAATGGAGAGAATTTTGTATTTTTCTCAAGTGATGAGCACTTGAATGTTGACAGACTACATCTTCAGAAGCTACCTTCAAAAAAAAAAAAAAAGATTTGCAGTATTGATTTCAGTTAACTTGCAAGACTTATTTTAAAAAATAGACATACAGTTGTATTTTTAAAAATTTAAGAGAAATGAAGATGCAGACAGAATTCCTATCTACTAACTCAGCTGCAAATGGCTAAAATGGCTTGGGGGCCAGAAGCCAGGAGCTGGAAACCCAGTGCAGGTCTTCCATGTGGGTGGTAGAATCTAATCATCCAAGCCATTACTGCTGTCCCCCAGCATTGGTAGAAAGCTGAAATGAAGAGCCAGAGCTAGGACATAAACCCAGGTACTCATATGTGAGATTCAAGCATCCCCACCAGTGGCTTAACAGCTAGGTCAAATGGCTACACAGACTCATAGTATTTAAGTCAATATTTCCTTATTATTAAAATCCATTTTACATCTGTCATCTTCTGTTCAGCCTAAGGTCCTTCCCTTAATCTTTAGATTTGATGCCAAAATACACACATTTTCACACACACTGAGACAGGTTTGTTGTGACATCTGATAAGACTTATGACACTTGGGCTTCATGCCAAAAATTACATTGAAACACACCTGATAACTGTCCCTTTTCTTATTAAACTTGAACTTTTCAACAACATTGTGTTTCAATGACAGATTCGTGCTCATCCATTTACTAACCCTCCCATTTTGCATATTTTCTGCTTATTCATGGAATATATATTTTGTCTCAATCTAATCAGAAATTCCCTAGTGTGTATTCTTCTCTTTTAAATAATTTATTCAGTATGAGGAAGATCTGCAGCCAAATAGAGATGAACTATTCTTCTCAAACCCACCCAACTCTAGCCTGACTCCTGCCCGCGACCTCCCAGGAGATCAGGGCTGACATTACCTGAGTAGCTACCTTGTTCACTTTAGGATTATATTTATTTTAACACAAGAAAAGTTGAGTGTTAGGTCAGGGGAGCCCTGTAGGGCTGGGTCTAGATTACCATCCAGAGTTCTGCAGTAAATCCAGATGTCACCCTGGGGAAGCCATGAAGTGAGGAAATGCAGGGACTTCACAAAATTTTCATTAAGGTAAAAATATCAGGGAAAACCAAATACAAACCTACTGTCTTCTCACAACTGTAGTAATGCTCCCTTTAGTTTAACTTTATGTTATACATGTTGTCCAAACTGGCTGTAAGTGTTTGAGAGAATTTGTCATTAAATTAAAATATTTAATACTAAAATGAGATCTTTAAAAATATAATTTATAAAAGGGAAATTGAACATTAGTCATTTTTGTAGTATAATGCATCCAAATTTGGCCCATATTGGATTATTTGGCAGGTTTCTCATTTCAAGCGTACTGTGTAAATAAATGGACTGTTATTTTAGGAAAAATGAGGGATACATTTTATGACTCATAGACCACAATGAGAAGAAAGCATCATGATATTTTCTTGTTCTACTATAGAATAAAAATGTGTATGAATATATGATTATTTAAAACCTGCCCTAAAAACTGAGGGCTCAAAATTGTGTTTTGCCCCTTGGGAATTCTCAGATTCTTGTAAATGACTTCTAGAAGGTGGGGTCTGGAAGTTGGACAGGAAAGTTCAATTAAGTTGTTAGAATAGGAAGGCCCTGCCTGTCAGTTCAGATCTAAGGGAAGGAAATGGAAGAGACTCTGTCCAGCCCAACCTTGTTCCCAAATGCAGAATTGATTTTCTCTGCTTTTTATTTTATTCCTTGGGCTCTCACTGAGAACCTGATTAACTGGTTAGCCTATGATTTTTGTTTTTACAAGCTCAGTCATCTGGTTTTCAGTTCTCGGTAGATAAGAAAGATTACATGAAAAAGGGTTAGATGGGAAACTGTGCAAGGCCAAAGTGATGACAGTCTGGAGAATGGTAAAGGATTACCCCCGTGTCCAGGGAGAAGTGAAAGACGCAGATGCAGAAAGCAACAGACATGGCTGCTGATGGCCCTCAAGACATCAGAGAGACCCTTGTGACATCACAGTCCAGTGCTTAAGAAGGCAGTGAATTAGAAATGATTCCTCAAAAGATGGCTGCTGTTTTTCTTTAAAGATATTTAAGTTTATTTAAGAGGCAGAGAGAGCGAGGGAAACTCATTTGCTGGTTCATTTCCCAACTGACTGTGACAACTGAGCCAGTGCCAAAGTGAGGAGCTGGGAACTCAGTCTTGGGCTCCCATGTGAGTGGCAGCGATAAAATCACTTAAGCCATCAGTGCTGCCTCTGAGGGTCTGTATTAGCAGGAATCTGGAATCAGGAGCCAGAGCCAAGAATCAAACCCAGGCACACTGATAATGTGGATTGCAGACATCTTGATTGGCATTTTAATTGCTAGGCTGAATTCCCAAGCTTATTTTTCATTTAAATATTTGCAAAGGGAGAAATAAAAAGCACCTAGAAAATTCACTTACTTGGGAAAAAAAATCTCCTGATGATGATGCTGGAAGAATGAGGCACCATAGTATCAAATACTTTATAAATATGTATTTCCAGTTGTTAAAAACTATATTCTTCCAGGCATAATTGAGTTAAGAGGCAATGGGGTTGAGAGCCAGATTTATTTTTTAGAAAAACTGATGGACGTTTCTACAGCTGGGACCCAAGTAAATGTTCCTGAAAGAAAAGCTTGGCAGCGAAGAGAGGAGTTGAGACACAGCGCTTGTCTGGGGATTTGTGAGCAAGAGGGTGGAGCAGGCTTTATGGGTTGGAAAAAAGACAATTTGGGGGAAATTTCTAGAGAAAAAGGCAGCTGGGTAAGGGTTCAGGGGTCAGATAAATGTTGGGGGTGAAAATAAAATTTATGACTTCTGCTCAGTGGTGTTTATTGAGATGCTGACGTGAACTGTAGAATTCCAAATACATGAGATGTGCCTTGAGTATAATCCAGCCACTACTGTCGTCCAAAGTAAAACGTAAAAAATGTTAAGTTGGAAATCGACCTATTTCAGAGAGGTGTGTTGTTTCTCTCTTGGTGGGTGTCTAATGAAATTGTTCAAAGCCTTAACAAATAAACAAATAACTCCCCCCAGACCCCTCTGCGGGCCAGTTCATTGAATGCACCCTTTATGCTTCCTGCCTCAGGTCACATGGCCAGATACACAGCCATCCTCAACCAGATTCCCAGCCATTCCTCATCCATCCGGACCATCCAAGGCCCTCCTGGGGAGCCTGGGAGGCCAGGTTCACCTGGAACGCCTGGAGAACAAGGACCCCCAGGCTCACCAGGCTTCCCGGGAAGTGCAGGCGTGCCAGGGACCCCAGGAGAACGAGGTAAGCTAGACCACTCCTCCAGTAGAGTTGTTTGAGATGGGTGCATTGAAACATGGCACAACAGTGATGCTTCCCCTTCTCCATCTGCAATTCAATATCTTACTTATTCCCAAGATGGAGAAAAGAACAGTGTGCAACATGTTTATCCAGAGCCATATCTGTTTATAGAACAGTAGACTCAAAACCCCAACACAACTCCAAGAGGCTGTTGAGCTAACAGAAGGAAGATATTCCCTCCAGACAGACCAATTCAGATAAGCTGCCTCTTCCAGGTTGAAGAATTAGGAGATGATGCCTCCCTTGGGGAAAACGTGATATCACACATGAGTCACAACAGCAGACTTCATTTAGTATGCATATGTAGTGCTTCTTTTGTGCAGTGCCCACACTGGGCAACACTCCGTGGCATTTCTGGGAAGAGTCACAAGTTATGTGGACACAGGTTCACATATCCCTATGTAGATGGTGTCAGCTCCAAACTTCAAGTTCAAGTACTGTTTGTGGCTCACTGTTCTGTACTATGAGTTGATAGCATAAGAGTTTCATGGGCCAGTGTTTTGTCTTTGCCATGAAACTTTCATTAAAATTAAGATCCTACTTTGCCTTATTTTCTACTATCTACAGGTCTTAGAAGTAATCCAATGGTAAGACTCACTTGGTTGAATTTCGTCAAGTTTCTATAACGATCAGCATCTCCCAATCCAGAAGCAGATAAAACAGATATGTGAAATGGGGTTCCACAATAGCCCTGAGGACAGTGATGGGAAAAGGGACAACTGATAAAAGTACTTTCTAAAAACAGTTTCTAGAATAATGTGTGGTATAGCTAACTGTTGCCTATTTACCTGTGAGTCATGTTACTTTTGTGAGATGAATAGCATATAAATATGAAGTGTACATTACAAAAATATTTCACATTTGTTCTTGATCCACGTCGATCAGCCTTGTAAGTGTCTACCTCTGTACTTTAAACATATTCTTTTCCCCTTTGGAAATGTCCCTTCCTTTGTCTATTGTGGACATTACTCTTAGCTCAACCTTCAGCTAACACCTACCTCATGCATGAAGCTTTTGTTGGTCGGCCTAGACCACAGACACCGCCACCCCTGAACATCTACAGTACTTGCTGGCCATTCTTCTCATTTCGGGGTTCATCAGATGTTAGCAGCTAGATCACCTCTGATTGCTTTGTATGATGTCTAATAGGTACTCACTAACTCATTGTTGCTTTGATTGTGATCCAGTTCTGATTTTCCTTTCAGGATTTTCCTATGTTAGGGCACAGAATCAGCAGACATAGAGAAAGACATAATGTTTCCATAACACACCAAGACCTGGCAGCCTGGAAGGTGGCTGCCTCTGTCAGCAGGGCGCTCTGTGATCATGCTAGTGATGGAGAGATTGTGACTCAGGGAGCACAGAGCCAGCACCTGAGTCACTCCCAGCAAGTCATAAGTTCTTTGTTCTCTTTGGACGTCTCAGCCCTCTTTTTGCCAGACCAAGTCTTTCCTGTTCTGAGACCATGTGAACGATTAGGCCAGAGAAAATCACCCGGGAGTTCTCAAACGGTGGCCCAGGCAACCAATGGAAACATGAATTTCCATGATGTAATTTTCTTTTAAAGATATGGATGTTCTTTGACAGTACAATAGACACATCAACATCTACATTTCATAAATATGGTAATTCAAAAAGCTCATGGGGAAATGGAATTAAGATGTTTATTTTGTTACAAAACCATTTATAAATGTGTGCATAGTTTTTTTTCTCTTTTTTTTTTTTTTTTTTTGACAGGCAGAGTGGACAGTGAGAGAGAGAGACAGAAAGAAAGGTCTTCCTTTGCCGTTGGTTCACCCTCCAATGGCCGCCGCTGCAGCCGGCGCACCGCGCTGATCCGATGGCAGGAGCCAGGATCCAGGTGCTTTTCCTGGTCTCCCATGGGGTGCAGGGCCCAAGCACCTGGGCCATCCTCCACTGCACTCCCTGGCCACAGCAGAGAGCTGGCCTGGAAGAGGGGCAACCGGGACAGAATCCGGCGCCCTGACCGGGTCTAGAACCCGGTGTGCCGGCGCCGCAAGGCGGAGGATTAGCCTATTGAGCCACGGCGCCGGCTTGCATAGTTTTTTTTGTGATAGTCATTTTACACAAGGTTTCTGAAGAGCCTTCATGCAGAGAGGATGAAAGTCAAAGTGACAAGTGTCCTGTAGGCACAAGGAAGTGTATTTTCAGTGATCACTGACTGAGTGGTGAGGTGTTGGGACTCCTAGGCTGGGTTTTATAGGCCAGCATCCATTCCTTGTCCTAAGGTGGGTGGGGATTTTATTTTATTTTTTTTTTTTTAGCTTTATGGGCTAAATTCCCCAGGACAGATTAAGAGGGGGAAAAATGTCTGCGCCTTTCCTTTAAGCAAGAACATTAAATGTTTTTTTTTAAATTATGTCTTTAAAAGCAGAGAGAGAGAAGAAAGCGAGCTTCCATCTGGTGGTTCACTCCCCAATTGGCCACAGCAGGCAGGACAAGACCAGCCTGAAACTAGGAGCCTGGAACTTCATCCAGGTCTCCCACGTAGGTGGGAGGGGCCTTTTGCTGCTTTCCCAGATGCATCACCAGAAAATTGGATCAGAAGTAGAACAGTCAGGACTTGAACCAGCACTCATATGGGGTGCTGGCATTGCAGGCGGCATCTTAACCCACTGTGCCATGATGCCAGCCCCCACAATATTAGACTTCGGAACCTGAAGAGTCTAGAACAATCTCTTCTTTTGATCTGTTCATTTTATACAAAAGGGTACATTAAAAAATATCAAGATCAAAAACAGGCTCAGGGTCAGCTAATATCAAGATAGGATATTAAAACCAAAGGCCATGTTTTTATTTTCTGGATAATTATCATTATGCAACATATAATAATGTTTAAATGGTCCCATTTATAATGAGTAAAATTAAGTATTACTCCTAGACAATATAATAAACTAAGAAAGATTATTAGAAACGTAGCTGTTGAATACTCTGGCATATGACATAGATGAAATTCACTTTCTACTGAGGCTTCATATGATTCTTCCTAAAAGAATTCATGACGCCATTTATTTTGGCAAATTTTTTTTTACCAGAAGTGCTCTGTTTTCTCTATTGAAAAATTTTAAGCTTTGAAAAAGATTATACACAGTAAAAATAATTTACATTGTGATACACTATACATGTGTATATATTCATATGTAAATACATACATGCAAACATAAGGCAAAACAAGACACTGTTGCTTATTTTTTTCATTTTGTTAGACTGAATTTAATTACTTCCATTTGAAAAACACTGTTATAATATCTTTGATTAAAAATGTATATTCCTTGGCTATTATGTTTAAACAGAAGAATTATATACCCGTGCTACTAGCAATATGACATATGTGGCTTTTCATGGCTTTCCTTATTACCTGTCTGCCTCTCTCATTAACCAATTGTCTTTTTTAACTTCAATGCTGTACTTTTTCACAAGTTTGTGTGGGTGACAGGCTTTTAGGTATCTTCTTACAAAGATTATATAGATAATTCTTAGAACTTACATATTCAGAGATGTCCTGTAGCTCATACTGTTCATGTTTTCTATCTAAATCTTGAACTCCAACTTATTTGTATACTTGTGTCCAAATTTAAGAGGTTTCATGTGCATAACATCATGCATGTGCAATGCAGTCCAATTTCTTATCTGCTTGTTCTTATCACTGTTAGTTTGTGAAAAAAGTGCTCCTCCTCCACAGACTCCTACTTGGTCAGTTCTCCCCACTAAACTGTACAGTATCTTCAGGTAAATGGTGCTTTATTAACTAGCTTCATGTGATTTCAAAGTTCAGGAAGAGGATAGGATTTACTTTAAGCGTTAGCCAAGTCCTGGATCTTCTGAGTTTAACTCACCATTTAATCACAGCTTTGGGTAATTCCAGCTAGATTCCCTTGATAACAAAACCATCTAATTTTGATCCCTGCATATAATTACTGGATGACTTACCTGTTACTTACTTACTCTATTATTTAAATATTCATAATTCATACCAGTATTGCGAATCATACATTAATGAAGTCATTAATAAATACATTGGTCTACAGTGAACAAAATTAAGTTTCCTTAATTACATGTTAACAACGAGAAATTATTCTGGTTTCATTCCTCATGCAACTTCTTGAGTTTTGATGATTTCCCTAAAACTATTGGATCACAGGCATTGTCCAACTGAAAAATTTTCATTTGTATGTTGTACATTCATAACAGATGGAATTCATATCTGGTTGGTTTTGTACAATAAACAGGCAGATATCTGTTAAATATTGAGTTTTCCTAAGACTTTTTGGCTTGGCAGTATGTGAGACAATAATATTGTTTCTGGATTTCACATATTAGGCATCAATTGCATCTTCCAAATATTGTGCTTGGTCGTATACATACACTATTTTGTTTGGGTAAAATAGAAGACTTGATTAGAATAAGGAAGGAATTTAAAAATTTATTGAATGTACGATTTGGGAGATGGTAAATGTTAAGAGAGTTAGGTACAAAATATACAGTGTCAGACTTTTTTCATATTTTCATTATTTTTTCACAGATTCAATATTATTTGTAGATACAAATCTAAGAACATAATGATATTCCCTGTCTCCCTTTCTCCTCTACCCTCTTACCCTCCCTTCCTTCTACCTTTTCTTTGTTTTTGAGAAAACCTATTTTAAATTTACATTACATTAAAAGGCTTAATTCTTCACTAAATAGGAACTTTAAAACATAAAAACCAAAAGACCCTAGTTTAGTGGGAATATAGACAATGCCTATAAATAATTGAATGTATGAATCCCCATTTCATGCATGTTTTTTGTGTCATTTCATTGAAAGTAATTATGAATGATTAACACCAATGACAATGTAACATCTAAATATTTCCTCTGTGGTTACAAGATTTTAAGCCATTTCCCCTCAAGAATTTATGCATGGGAATAATTTTATGCAGT